ATCTTTGTAGATTGGCTATGAGGAAAGACGGAGACATATTTTGGGTGGAGGAATATGAAGGAGACTCCATCAGTTGTAACCATTTCTTGAACATGTGCAGTTTTGAAATTTGATCCTTGTGATTTATACACAGATTTTCTGGTTGAGTGTTTGGCGGCTGCAAAAACACATGTATATACATGAAGCAGGTTCAGCTGTGAGTTGTCAATTTCCATAGGTCCATGCCTAATTTGCTGACTGTAACCCAGTATACAGGCAACAGATGTACAGGTTGTTCATTTAGAAGTACAGTGTATGATGGTTGAAGTTGGCCTTTGTGCTCAAGATGCAGGAGTCTTTACCATGTATTTATTTGTACATTTCCCTTTTTGAAGGTGATTGCACTCAATGAGGTTTCAAAATAAGCAAAAAGTAGCATGCTGGAACACGTTTAAACATGTGATTTCAAACCAGCTTGAAATTTGGTCACTGATAATTGTCTGAGCCGAAGGTGAGGACCGTTATCAGCATTTTCCAGTTTTAAAAATACCATTTCAAACTTCGCCAGCATACCATTAATCTTTTTTTTTCACTCAAAACCTCTAAACAAGTGAAACATTGAAAATTTTCTCAAGATTTTGTTCAAGAGTTTTAGCCACTTCTTGTGATCGTGGCTATGGTGTCTGCCTCAGGCGTGCAGTGCAAGCATCTCCTTTTATGGTGTTGAGCTCTGTCACATGCCAAAGAATATATGGGTTCTCGGCTGTGTTTTAACAGCAGTTTGAAAAGTGCCCACATACTCCAAACCAGTCTGAGTCCGCTGGATGTCTTTGGGTTTTATGATGTCTACAATTTCACAATTGGTTCTGATGTCATGATATTGATCGGCAGGTATCTTGTGCTTTATCATGGTGCCTTTAAACATTTGCCTGGTACCCAGACTTTTATCATTGCCTGCATTGTACCCAGTGCATAAATTATGATGTGCACAGTGCTTTAAAATGTGCTTATGATTAAGTAGATTTTTTTTTTACACAAGTGGAAATTTAGTATTAATAGATAAACAGACCTGTGTCTTGCGTAATGGTTGTATACAAAGTAAGGAAATTACATGTAGTGTATTTCACGTGGATTGTTATTAGCCAACTCTGGCATTTTAGGATTCATGTACTGGTACTTACATGTAGATAAAGATGAGACAAATACAGTTATTCATATATTACCAAAATGATGTTCTGACAAATTGATGTGGGTGTCCAGATGTACCTTTAGACAGGATTCTTCCCATGCGGAATAAAACCCTATCCTGTTATACGTAGATTATGTAGTAATGCAGGCAATGTGATATCTTTTCTTATAAATTACACTGTACATTCTGCATTGTGGGCAAAATGGAACGCAAATGAAAATCCTTTGATTAGAAGAAAAAATCATGAGAAATAAATCCTTAAACAGTACAATTGAAATGTAAAACATTTCCTGTTTGATGAACTGTAAACTTGGTTGCTGTCAATCAAAAACCCAAAAATTGACATGGTGTTTAAAATGTCTTATTTCTCGAGAGCTCTGAAAGTGCCACCCAACTTGTTGAGATTGTGACTTTTTTTCGCAAGATGTCGACATTTAGAGATACAGTAGTTTATCACGAGTTGACGACATCTTAACTGTTAGATGATGATGTCCTGAGATACATGTAGTTTATTACATGATGATGACATCAAGCAAAATAATGTGACGATGACATCAAGCAAAATAACGTCATTACATTTCCCTTTTACTTTGTCATCATCCATTGAAAAATCATCTCAGAATATCGCTATCCAACTTTTATGTCATTATCCTGTGCTGAACTATCTCAGAATGTCAACATGTTGATATGGTTGTCCCAAGAAAAACTATGTCACTTCCAGAGCTCTGCAATACCAGAGATAATTCAGGCTGATAGCATCTTTTATGCAACATGCAGGACATCCTAAAGCAATATGCATCCTAAAGCAAGATCCCAACACCGTAAGATGGGGGCTCTAGCTTTTGTCTAGCCCCTCCCCACCAAAAAGGCAAATAAAAAAAATTTAAAAAGTAATAACATGAACAGAGCAGTTGCAAAAGTTAAAAGGTGACGTCACGTGTGAGAGTCTAGCCCCCCCCAAAAAAAATTGGCTTTAGAACATCGCATGACTCTGACTACAAGTCAAAGGCACCAAGTTCTGAAATACAAAGCCCAAGTCTGGAATGTTCTCATTTCGTTTTAGCACTGACGATCTTATATGTGTTCAATTTAGCCACAGCTGTGAAGGGCCTCATCCAAATAGTTTGGATGTGGCTGCGAATTGCACATGCACCTAGTGTTTGTTCTTGCAACGTCTGGCTGGACCAACAAGCCACATGTTAGTGTGCACAGGTTGTAATGCACGTATGACTCTGAATATGTTATAGCGCATATGGGATAGAGCATGGTATGTGATGTAGAGTATATCTCAGGAGCAAACTCATTGAGCTTCAGCATGGATGTCAGGAGTGTGGAAGTGTGTTGGTCAATACCATGCAGCCTTGGCTGAATTTTTTTGCAGGTTTACCTTGAAATTTGGATTCCGTTTTGCCCACCTGCATCAGCTTGTGGTGAGCCAGATATTTTTAGTGAGGCATTGTTTAATTTCATTTCAGTGAGTATTTCTGTCTCCAGGCCTCCTGCCAATGCTTACCCAGGTTTTTGGACAAAGCACTGGGCATTAACAGTGAAGTTAAAAAGTTGTGACAGGGAGGGTAGAAAACTCTGGTGACAAACCATCACGTTTGGACCTCAAGTCGGTATATGTTCTCATTCAGTGCATTCAGATCACTGCCAAAGTATGTTTTTGGAAATTTCCAGATGTTTATGCAAGGATATTAAAAACCTGGTGATCTGTTAGAAAGTCATGTCATAGAAGCCTTCAATTACCTGCTTAAACCCAACCAGGGTGTTGTATCCATGAACAAGACAAATAGAGGGATCCCAATCTGCACACTTCTGCGTTTGAAAACGAGGCTGTATGTGTCGGCTTCAATTCTTAATACGATGAGACAATTGAAAGTAAGGAATCAAGACACAAAATATAAAAAGGTATGTTAAATTCAGACTTTTCAGGATGCAAATTTTTGTGGAAGAGTCTTTCAGGATGACTCGACATGTAAAATCAAAAGAAAAATAACAGCAATTTACCGTGAACTAACGGAGGCCTACTGCGATGGTTGTGTATCTGCATGTGCAGTGGGCGTGGGTTAAACTGCAGTGGCGTCACACTTACGAACCGGATACTGCAAGTACTGTGTCGACATAGTGGGCGCGCACAACCAAGTTCAACAAAGAGAGTCTTGGTTTTGATGCGGATATGCGCAGACGGCGCTAATGTGAAACTCCTCTATTGCTGCGATTGGCTTTCTCTTCTCAGGACTAACAAAATCAATGCCCCAGTTCATTATCTCTTGCCACTACTCTATTTTTAAAAAGTTTAAGTGTCCACATGTAGTTTATTATTTCTTTTGGTGTCTGCGACAGTATAGCTTAAATGAACTTCAGTAGGCCTACTTTAAGCATTATCAGGCACTGTTTTGGATGGCCAGTTTTGAACCAAGTCAACAAGAAAACGTGGTCGACGCCATTACAAGACCAGTCACAAGTAGGAGGGTGAACAGAGTAACAAAGGAATGCTTTTGCTGCACTTGTTGCAGTTTTGTTACAGCTTGTTTGAATAGTTTTTGACTGAATTTGAATGGAAGCCTCAAGTTGGTCTTTTTTGGTAATGTGCTGGTCTAATTGCTTCAATAGTGAAAAGTTTGTGATCGTAGAAAATCAGCTATAATAACTTGACAAGTGATCATGAAGGCATTAGTCATTCGCAGACTACTTTTTTATCTCCTCTGCAGGTCATGTGCAACATCATCAGCCACTGTGAGCCAGAACTGCTGGCTCCCGTCACTGTGACATCCTACCTCAGTGTACCTTGGAGGAAGCCAGCATGGCACCAGTCACGAGGGAGTCACCATACAAGAACAAATACAAGAACAACCAAGAGGAAGAGGTGGGCACAAGACCAAAGGGGAACCATGAAAAACTGGATAATGCACTCTTAAACTGAATCATATTTTGTTTTTGAAAGCAGAGTCTACAGCTGCTTTCAACAAGTTAGCATGTATAATGAAAAATACTCAATGTTGAAAAAGAAATGTGCCCCAACCCATTAGAATCAGTGCATTTAGCACCATTGTCAATGGCATTTTGGATGTATTGATTTTGGGCTTTTTTGTTCAGAAACATTGGGTAGTCATTGACTGAAATTCTTGTGTCACTCATGGTCAGGTTAAGACATGTGATGCCACATACCTGCAGTGAACATCAGGT